TTGAAGTAGGTATTGATTATCTTCTGGATTTCTGCAGGATCTGTTCTGAATTCACCCTTTTCATTTCTAATTGTATGGATCTGAGTCTTTTCTTAGCTTTTTAAATATAAGTTTGGCTAGGGGTCTGTCAATTTTATTTCTTTCGAAGAACCAACTCTTTGACTCATTAATTCTTTGTATTGTTTTCTTAATCTAAATTAAATTTATTTCTCCTCTGATCTTGATAACTTCCTCCTTTGTACAATCTTTGGGTTTAATTTGTTCTTCTTTTTCTAAAAGCTTGAGGTTTAACATTAGGTTTTTTATTTGAGCACACTCTTTTTTCTGATATGAGAATTCATCACTATAAATATACCTTGTAGGATCACTTTTATTACATCCTATACATTCTGATATGTTGTATTGAATTATTGTTTAATTGTATAAGCTCTAATTTCTTCTGTGATCTATTAATTGTTCAGGAGGGTGTTATTTAATTTCCATATGTTTATGAAGTTTTTGTGGGTTTTTGCCATTGATTTCCAATTTCATTGTGCTAATGTCGGATAATATCCATGGAATCATTTTAATTCCTTTGTGTTTACTTAAGCATGTTCTATGAGCTAGTATGTGGTCTGTTTTGGAGAATGTCCTGTGTGAAGCTGAGAAGAATGTGTATTCGGATGTGTCCTGGAACACTGTAGACATCTACTAAGTCCATTTTTTCAAAAGTTTGGCTCAATTCTGATATTTCTTTGTTGATTTTTTTGTCTAGATGATCTGTCTATTTGTGACAATGGGGTATTAAAGTACCCCATTACAACTGTATTAATGCTTCTTTGAGTTTTTATGTCCATTAATATTTGTTTTATATAATTGGGTGTGCTGGTGTTTGTTCATATATATTTGTGATTGTTACCTCTTTCCCTTGTATTGTTTCCTTAACGAGTATGTAGCGAGCTTCTTTGTCTTTCTTGATCAGTTTTGGCTTGAAATCTACTTTGCCTGCAAATAAAATAGCTATGCCTACTTTTTTCTGAGTTTCTGTAGCATGGAGAATTGTTTTCCTTTTTTTCATTCTAAGTCTACGATTTTATTTTCCATTTAAATATATTTCTTATACACAGCATGTTGTTGGATTGTTTCTTGATCCATTCTGCTAGTCTCTTTCTTTTGTTTGGTGAATTGAAACCAGTTACATTGATGGTTATAACATGTGTATTAACTTACCCTAATCATGCTATTTTTCTGTTGTTGGTTCCCTTCCTTTCCTCTTTGTTTAATTTCTTGCCTTACTTGGTGGATTCATTCATTTGCAGTTCATGGAGTTGTAAGCTTTGTTATGTCTTTCTAGCATATTCTTCACAACATTTTGGAGTGCTGGTTTAGTGGTCATGAATCAGGTGTTCTTTGTAATGGAAGAATTTTAATTCTCCACCAATTTTGAAAAATTGTTTTGTGGAGTACATCAATCTGGGCTTACAGTTGTTTTCTTTTATGGCTTAAAATACTTCACTCCAAGTTCTCTTTGACTTAAGGGTTTGTGTTGAGAAGTCTGCTGTGATTTGGATGGGCTTTCCTTTATAGATGATTTTTTTCTTTTCTGTAACATCTTTTAATATTCTGTTCTTGTGTTGAATTTCTGGAATCTTGATTATTATATGCCTTGGGTAGATTTTTTTCATTATGGTTAAATGAAGTTCTACATGAATCAAATTATTTTTCCATGCTTCAGAAATTTTCTGCCATTACTTTTGTGAATAGGTTTTTTATGTTGTTTGCACTATCTCCTGCTTTTTCATTACTCCAGTCAATCTTATATTTTTCTTTTCATCACCAAGAACCTGTTGGATTGATCTTTTGTGGTTCCTTGATTTTTTAAAGAAATCTTTCTTATCATGATTGCTAACCACAAACTTGTCTTCTACATCAGATACTCTGTTTTCACATTGGTTAAATCTGCTGCATATATTTTTAATAGAATTTTTAATCTCCTGGATATCTGTTTGAATCTATTTCATGGATTTCATTTCTTTCCAATGTTGGGCATTCATAGTTTTCATCATTTTCCTAAGCTCCTCTATTTTTTATTTGTATCTAATCTAGATTCACTAAGCATGCCCTTCATTATGGTCATCATCTCTTTGGTTGTCTGAGAAATTATTTCTACTTTGATTTTGAAATTTTTTTTCAAGCACCTCATTCATCTGCCTGGTTAATTTCACTGCTATCATTTCAGAAAGTTCAGGAGGGTGACTTTGGAATTATTCTATCTCATTGACCCCTGGATTTGCCTTTCATGAGCAAAAAAAGTCTGGGGTCACATGTTGCTTCTGTGTCTTCTCATTTTCTATTGCTTAAATTTAATTTCTTTATTAATAACTATAAATTGCTTATAGTAGATAGTGTTATTGCTAGTATCAAGAGCCCTTAGAAAATAACTACTTTTCATAGATGTCTTCCAGATGTAGTTGGATTTTGGCTCTTGAGTCTCTTGTAAGGTCTACCTCTTCAATAGTTGCTGCCTATTGCTTAGCTACCTGGTTCTTTGGCTCTGGCCAATATTATTGTTTATGACCCTCAAGAAATTTCAGTGTTAGCATACAAGAAGGAACAACTGATTAGAAAACTATGTCACCTTCACTAAAATAATATAATCAATAACAATAGTATCAAGCACAGCCTAGAAAAATGACAAATTGTGTTAACTATTATTTGCCATATTTAACCATGTAAACAAGACTTGTAGTTCTAAAACAAATCAGAAAATTGTATACAGTAAATATCTCCTCAGTATGGTGATTTTACCCTCAGTGGAGAAAATTTAAAAGGAAAAAATAAATAGAGAAATAGAGAAAGAGGAAGAAATTAGAAGACAGGCTTAAAGGACAAAGGAAGATTATACAAGTTTAGGGAAATTGGTGAAGAAGACAAGAGAGAAAGAGAGAAAGAAAAAACAGAAACAAGAACAGAACAAAACAATAACAACAACAGAAGTAGAAACAATGTTCATTCTCATATAAAAAGAAGAACAAATGACCAAGAAAAAGAAGAGGAAAAAATGCAAAGAAAGGAAGATTTCAAAAAAAAGTTATTACCTCAGGGTGTGTCTCTGCTGTCACTGGTAGACAAATGGGTCAAACAGAGCTCAAATGCATGCAGGTTGATCCCAGCAAGCCTGCAGTAGAATTATAGGCTGATGGTAGATAATCCCAGAGCCCTGCATTTTCCACTTCCCTGAAATTTAGACTGTTTCTGGTTTCTGGCTGTGAGGCTGGGATTTGTGTTGTTCAGCCCACAACACTCTGGGCACCTCCTGCTGACTTGAACTCAAATCCCTGACCCTGGGTGCCTCCTGGCTGCACCTCACCTGATACTGTGAGGCCTGAGATGGAGCCAATCCACTGCCACTCTGAGTCCTGAGTTCACTTGGCCCCTTCCCAAAATGGCGATTGGCCAATCACCCTCCACTGGAGATACCCAAACTGGAACCAGTCACGAGCCACTGGTTTCTGCAGCATCTGCTGCTCCCCTCCACTAGTGCATTTCTCCATGGAGGCCTCTGGAGTTACCAGTAGTCACTGTGCCTCTGCATGTATAAACCACTCCTCCCATGCTGAGAACCGGGGCTCAGGGAGAAAGCACCACTTGCTACCTCCTGTTTCTGCATTGAGACCCCACTCTTTGCTCTCACCATCAGCTCTAATTCTAGCTTCAGATTCTGGCTGAGCCCCAGGAACCCAGTTCCCTCCTTTTTCTTTTCCACATACTGCTATATTCCAGCATCTGGATGACAAACCTCAGAGAGGCTGTTTAGCTGCTGCTCACTACTGTGCCATCTTTCCAGAAGCACCAAAGACAAACATCTTAACAAATAAAAGTCAGGTTACCTGAATGAGCAATAGGGACATTGCTGTATGCCACCATGTAAGTCAGAGGAAAGTGTACTAGAATTTTCAAGGGGCTGAGAGAAGAGAGTTGGCCTAAATTCCATGTACAACTAAATTCCCATTAAAATAATAATAACAATGATTGAGAATGCACACTTAACAGACTCTGCGAAAGGATACAATTCAGGAAAAAGAAAGGAGTGAGATGCAACAATTAACAGTAAGCAAAGAAATTATTAAAATATAGATAATTCTAAAAGGGCCTTGATTGCATATAAGAAAAATATAATGATAAGGATTAATAGGTAGTGAACCTATGGCACAAGTGTTATTTGTTTTTCTCTTGCTACAAAAGATGTTAATGCAAGAGTTGTATTTTCTAAACTAAAAGCTCACTATTGAGGTTTAATTGCAGTGTTGGCACTTTGTAATAAATAAGTGAGTTTTGGGTTGCAATTTGGGCCCTCATCTCTAAAAAGTCTAGCACTAGCCTAGTACATTTAAAGGCTTCCTGCTATTCTGGAGGTATATAGAGATATTTGTTAACTGTAGGCTTTGAAATTCACATGTGCATGATCAAATTGTCAACATCACCACTAATGAAAATGAAATGTATATTTTTCAAACCAGTAAGATATTCTTAAAAAGCAGTGCTCTGATGTAGTGGGCAATGTATTTCACAGCACTGGAGCTAAAATTCTATCCATTTGGTGAAATCTGCTCCCATCTTCCTAGCAGCCTTAGAAGTTCTTTCTTTCTTGCTGTTGGGTACCCAGGACAAGCCTCCAGTAGGGCCAACTGTAATGGCCCATTCCTTGGTTTGGTTTCCTGTGCTTTTCCTCACCTTGTGTCCTGGTGCCTGTCATTCAACAGGCACGCCCATGTTTACACAATGAATGGTGGTGAGTTGCTCAGGGTCACACAGCTACTAAGGGAGCAGATAAAGAATGAGAACTCAGAATTTTGCATCTCCTGATTTATTTCTTTTCTTAAACCGAACTGAACAAATTGTTATGTGTGGGAAAAAAAAACTGTAGTACTTCATGAAAATCACAGGTGCTTGATTAAAGCAATCAGAAAGCAAATAAAGATGGAGAGATTTCACATCAGTGACTACTGTCCATCCTCTGTTTAAGAAAACCCACACTGCAGGTCATGCTGGTGAAGGAGCTGGGTTTCAGAATGGGCCTTCGGAGAAGCATCCATCCTAAGGCAGCCTGTACTGGGGCAAGATCCCAGGGAATCGAAGAGTGTCCACACCAGCCAGTTATTGCTATGAGAGATTAAGACCAGCAAACACCCCGGGGAGATGTAGTGTGCCTCAGGGCTCAAATGCTGATTGGCTGAAGGGCTGGAAGGCAGAAGGGCTGCAGACTTGTCCTTGGAAGTTTCTGCCCTGGATTAGCAAAGGAAAAGGAAGTGGAGGGGAGAAAAAGAGGAACAAAAGGCTAGAAAGTGAAAGAAGATAGCAAATGCTTGGGGCTGACTTCAGATTCCCAGGATCCATAACTCACATTTCAAGGTGGAGCCACCCTACATGATGACTTTGCTTCATCTGCCAATGAAATTACAGAGCCAGCAGGAGATGGGCCTTTTAACCTCTGACCAGTGCCTGCTGACTGCATTAGAATTTCCCAGATGCAAACCTGCACTGTCCACCTTATGTTTTGTCCAGTGCTTTCTCACCAGTCACAGAGCCAAAAGTAGCAAATAGAGAAAGAAAATGATCCCCAAACCAGAATCCACTCAAGAGGACAAAGGTAGGGAAGGAGGGTGAGCAGCTCTGGAAAGGCAGGAAGGACAGGTTTCAGGATGGGTTTAGTTTGGGCTCCTATTACTGAACACTCATGATGCCAGAGCCCAGTGACAGGTGTCTAGCCAATGGATTAAAATTCTTAGGCATAGTCTGTTCTGTCCATTTAAATCATTCTTTGTCTCCTTTACCTGCCTCCCATGCGAAACAAAAAACATCAGAATGGAACTCTGCTACAAAGAGTAGAGGAGGTTAGCATCTCCCTCTCTCTTTTCTTCTCTCTCTCTCTCTCTCTCTCTCTCTCTCTTTCTCTCCTCTAATATGTTATCAAAAATTGGCTGAGGAATTTTGGAAGCAGGAGCAAGAAACATTTCTCCCACATTGGAATGACTAAAGTTAATTTTCTACTCCAATCCTCCACTTTGAGATCCAAAGTTCTCTTTTGTCACAGTCTCCTTGAACACTTCTCACAGGACCATGAAGCTTTACCAGAAAAGAATTCCCTGCCACAACATTTCCATCTCACTGGTCCAGGGACAAGGTGGAAAACTAAAGGTTTTCTAGGAGATTTTTTTTTCCCACAGCATTTCAGTCAAAGCCTTAACTACAAACAGAAAGCAGATTGTGAACCAACCACCCTCACTTCATCCCACTCTGACTCTAGCGCCCCAGGGCTCAGAATAAACCCACTGTGACCCAGGTATGAAAACAGAACGTTTTCTCCTGAGCTTCTTTGCTATTTGTACTTTTTCAGCATTCATGGCCTGATGCTTCTACCTGTGAATACCTGCATATTTCCAGTGACTGAGTCATACATCTTTGTTGAAAAAAAAAATCTCTATTTGCTCCCAAGTGGGTTTGAGTTGAGAAGAGTCCAATACACGGTACACATTGCATCGGACTGGGTTGGCATCTGCACTGCCGTCAGGCTCACCCAAGTGAAACTGTGCTGTAAGAAGCCCCTTCTGAGACGTCAACGGTGGAGCTGCTTTGAAGTCTTTGTGACAATGTGCTCCTGGCCTGAACGAGCCAACCCTGGGTTGATGAGCACTCAGATTCACAGCCTGTGCTCTGCTCCTAGAAACAAAACAAAACAAAACAAGAAAAAAAACCCTGCTTCTCTGAGCTAATTACAAGACAGCCTTAAACATCATCATGTTACAAAAGAAGCCGCGAGTACAAATTGCTTTCTGACCAGTGTTGTTGGGACCCAGAAGTGTGCAGTTTGGAGAATGCATTTGCAATCCGCCAGTAAAACGCAGTCCTTAGGTAGCTGTGCTGCTCACAAGCACCAGGTATGCTGTTGGCACAGGTCATTCTTAGTTTCCCTCACCTCCCACAGAGCTCATCGAAAGAAGGTCACGGCAGAGTCTGAATGCCCTTCTACACGTCAGAAGACTGTAGGCAATAGACTGTACAGCTAGGGACTCAGGGAGCTCCAGAGTTAGGTGGTCATTTCTTAGCTCAGGCCTGAAGAACAGCTTCTTATTGCCGTGACTGAGTTAAAAACATCCAACAAACAAATGCTATGCCACCGGAGCTATCCATAACAACAAAACTCGCAAGCAGAAGTAGCTTGCTATAAATTAATCTAGTGCCTCAGGGAGCACAGTTAGCCACCTTGGTTTGGTGTTTCAGGATCTTATTTGAATATTTACCCTGAGGGATCGCAATGCCCAGAGCCACACAGAGACCTGATGTGCCCAGGTTCCCCAGTACCGAGTGGAAACCCGTCTAGGATATGGAAGACACATTTCAAGGGGCCTGTGGGATGCTGCCAGGAGCCCCCACCCCCACCCCCGCTGAGATTTACAACCCCTTCAGGGGAGGCATCACTTGGAGGGAATATGGCCAGGGATCCCGGATGAAAAGATTCCAAACCTGTTACAGAAAACAGAAGGGAGGGCTGGAATAACAGAAGGCATACAGATTGGCGAGGTGTTGCCCTGCTGGAGAGCGCTGCCTAGTACTGATGCCCCCCACCCCTTCGCTTTACGGTGTTGGGGACCAGCAGGCCACTTAGGTTTTCCAGAACCTTCAGAAGGGAAGCTGAGTAGGCCTTTGTGCCTGCAGTCTCTCAGCCCTGACGCCAGCCTTTCTGTGTGAGCAGCGTGTGAGGGGCTGGGGGCGCAGGCCCTTCCTGAACTGCCTGCGAAGTAGATCCCCGGAAGAAAAGGTCCGTGTCTTTGGTGATTTTCATTTACTGCGATATTTCCACCCATCACATTACCAGAGACCATGCTTAGCCCTGGGCATATAAACACAGCAGCAATGAGTTGTTCCTCTGTGGACTGACAGGGGAGACAAGCAAAGAATCGAGAAACTATAGCATCCAAACGCAGTGTGAGCTCAGAGGCAGGGAGCCTGACAGATTCCTGAGGGGGAGGAGGAGAGATTTCCCACAGACCGCCGTCGCGGAGGTCAGAGGCTCGGACACCAACTCAGAGATCACTGGACAAAAAGAAAGACGAGGCAGAGGAGAGTTTATGTTGAAATTGCTTTTGCTTTCAGCGTAGAGGCTCATATGACGAGATAAAGATCCAAATACAAAAGAAGAGGGAAGAAAGCCAATCCTTAGTCCTAAAAGCTACTGCTTAGACAATAAACTTTGTTTAGATTTCACAGGATTTAGGATTTTTAAAAAAAGGTAAGAAGAAAGCAGCAGCACAATTGCGTTGATGTGAAGTGAGCCCCTGGCCTGTCAGCGTTGGTGTGTGAGGCACGGGGCGGCTGCAGCCAGGGACGGGAGGGCCGGGGCACGGTGGCCCGACGGG